TCTACAGTGGGAGAACTTCTGTGCTGGAGACACCCTTCTCGGGCAAGACTTGTTTCAGTGGAGCTTTGGTGCTCACTGAGTCTGCCCCCTGAGTGTGTCCCTTATGGATCTGAGGAGTTGTAATCTGGATGGTCCCACTCTGACCACTGGGTACACTGGCTCTTGGATCTAAGGAGGGGCTAATTTAGTCTCTTCCTGAGGTTACCCAGCAGGAGCTACGAAAATATCTGCAGATTCCCCTTCCTTTTTTGGAGTTTGGAGGTGCCCAGATGAGGCCCAGCTGTGAAGCAGTGTAAGCTGCTGTGGAGCCTTGGGCCTTCTCTTGGAAGTTCTAGGTCTGTCTGGCCCAGCTGCAGTTTGTTAGGTAATTTTCAGATTGCAAAGGGCCAGGGCATTCATATGCAAAAGCCTCTGCCACAGCTTGGGTGGGGCGGGGTCTCAGGGAATCAAAGGGTGGAGCAAGCAGCTATGGCGGATCCTCAGCCCTGCCCTCAGTCTCAGTGTCCGAGTAATCGCTGCAAGTACCTCTGAGAGAAAGCCGCCCTCGAGTTCCGAGTTCTGCCCACTGCCAGACAGTCCAGTCTCTCTCCGCACGAGTTCGGGTCCCCAGAGACTTCCCGAAACCGGTGTTCAGAGCAGTCGGGGGCTTATGACTCCCTCCTGATTCAAAAAGCCAGCCGTGTCCTCAGTTGCCAGCCCTTTCCGCGTGCGCCTCTGAACCTCTGCACTTTACCTCCGCAGCTCCTCTGAGTCTCAGTGCTTTTCTCTTTCCTTCTAGTTGTAGAACTTCCACTCAGCCAGCCTTCCTGTGGTTCTGGATGATGTCCGTTTTGTCTTTTAGTTGTATTTTTGAATTTGTTGTGGGAGGCAGCAATTTCCGGTGTTTACCTATGCCGCCATCTTGGTTTCCTCAGTTATACTTGTCTTATGTCATCATGCTGTGAACAGCTTTTTAAAATGTTCAAATCTCAAACAATGGAGATTCTCACAAAGCATAGGAAACAGTAAGTAGAAAATTTGGACCTGTTAGTAAAGTATTTTAAAGAGTATTTTTTAAAAACTTGATTTATGTGGATTTCCTTAATATATTAGAATTTGATCCAGTAAGAACTATGAGGGAAACATTTTTTAAAATATATATTTTTATTGATTTCAGAGAGAGAGAGAGAGAGGGAGAGAAACATCGATGATGAGAGAGGATCATTGATCAGCTGCCTCCTGCATGCCCCCTACTGGGGATCGAGCCCAAAACCCAGGCATGTGCCCTGACTGGAGTCAAACCCAGGACCATTCAGACGCTCTAACCCCTGAGCAAACTGGCTAGGGCGGGAAGTTTTTTTTGAAACCAGCAATATTAAAAGTCATTTTAATAATATGTCAATACCTACAAATGTTTATCAATATAAGTGATTCTTCACCAGTCTTGTAGATTACTTTATAATTTATTCTTTTAAAAAAGTCACTTAATGGCCCTGGCTGGCGTGGCTCATTTGGTTGGATATTGTCCATCCCATGCACTGAAAGGTGGCGGGTTTGATTCCCACTTAGGGCACATATCTGGGTTGTGGGTTCGATTCCCAGATCAGAGAGTGCGTAAAGCCTATTGATATTTTGATGTCTCTCTAAAAAATATCACATAATGAAGTCTTCAAAAATTGCACACTTTATTTCTTAAAAATACAGTTAATAAAATGAGGTTTATTTCTGTACATTTATTGTATATCATATACTAGTAAGTAATGTTCACAAAAACAAAATGGAAAAAGGCAAATAATACGTTTACAAATGTATATAAAACCATATTGAATAAATGTTAGCTTTATAAATGGTGCTTTGGAAAGTTTTCTGTGTGGGATAAACTTGTTAAGTCTTAGAGATTAGGGAAGTGTGAGCTTTAAATGCCTTTTTCTGTTAACATATTTCTGTGGTAAGCCTGGCCTTTTTATTTTTAAATTTTATAACCGCAAATATAAAATGTAGCAAAGTATATTTATATACTGACCACCAGAATTAACTATTAATATTTTGTCACTTTAATGCAAAAGAAATAGAATGTTTTAGAATTACTTAGGAAATTTCAAGAGTTTTAGGGGTTCTGTGCCAGGAACACTGGAGAAAAACCAAATATACAAGCTATGGCAAAAGTAGGCTTTCAGTTGTGAGTATGTGAAACACTGTTTGTTCTTTTATTATTTATTAGTTATTGAATTATTTTTCATACAGTCAACTGCAAACCTGCTTTTGCCCCACCCTATGTATTTATCGTAAATCACAGTTTAACATAGGGTCTTGTACATAGCACAGATTTAATTTTGATGAAGTCTAGTTTATCAGTTTTTTCTTTTATGGATCCTACTTTGGGTGTCAACCCTGAGAACTCTGAATAGCTCTAGATCCCAAAGATGTTCTCCTATGTTTTGCACTGAGTTTTATCTCTCACATTTAGGTTTGTGATCCATTCTGAGTTAGCATCGACTTAAAAGAAGAGAGGCTTCGTTCACGGCTGTGTGTGTGAGCGTGCACACCCCTGGCGGTGGATGTCTGGTTGCTGCAGCGCCATTTGCTGGAAAGCCTGTTCTCCATTGAGTTGCTTTGGCTTTTGCCTCTTTCAAACCCGTCGGACACACCTGTGTAGCCGGTCTGTGGACTCTCTGTGCTGCGCCACTGAGCTATGTGCTTATTCTTCTGCCAGGGGATGCCGCATGGTTACTTGGAACTTAAAATGGAATTATTTTAATGTTTTTATGACGATGCCTCCATTATAGTCATGTTCCACATAATGTTTTTGTTGATGATGGAACACATCGTCATATACAATAGTAGTTTACCATATAGCCTAGGCGTGTGATTGACTATACCATCTATGTGTAAGTGCACTCTAGGATATTTACACAGTTACAAAATTGCTTAAGGACACATTTCTCAGAACAGATCCTTATCAATATACTAGAGGCCCAGTGCACAAAAATTCATGCATTGTGGG